GGCTATACGTCAAATTATGTATTATATGTTTTTCATTTAAATGTACTTTATAAATAATATATAGATTAATCTAAACCCTAAAGATAAGGTCTAAGATCAACAAGCTGCACCTTTCCATTATACGAAACAGTTTTATAATTTTAATACATTTATAAAAAAATATGCTCTTTTATATATATGTATATTAGCGCGTATTACTCGGCCTTGCCATTGGCAATCTAATCAGCAGTCAGTCTGTCAGTTAGTCAGTCTGTCAGTCAGTCAGTCAGTCAGCCAGCCAGCCAATCAGTCAGTCAGACATTCAGTCAGTCAGTCAGCCCATCAGTCAATCAGTCAGTTAGGCATTCAGTCAGTTAGTCAGTCAGTTAGTCAGTCAGTTAGTCAGTCAGTCAGTCAATCAGTCAGTCAAACAGTCAGTCAATCATTCAGTCAGACATTCAGTGAGTCAGTCAGTCAGACATTCAGTCAGTCAGTCAGACATTCAGTCAGTCAGTCAGTCAATCATTCAGTCAGTCAATCATTCAGGCAGACATTCAGTCAGTCAGTCAATCGGTCAGTTAGGACAAACACTTTTATAAATAGAGATATTATGCAGCTTGCGCTAGATAAGTTATCTTAGTGTGTAGGCAACTGATTTATGATTATCCCGGCTCTCATTCCAGGCATATAATCAGTCAGTCAGTCAGTCAGTTAGTCAATCAGTAACTCAGTCAGTCAAACATTCAGTCAGTCAGTCAGTCAGAATAGACATAATATATATATACATATATATATTGGGCAATCCGCGGTAAATAAGCTTTCTAAGTGACCTCCTCATTTGGGCAACTGATTAAGGATTATTCTAGTTTGAATCCCAGGCGACTCTTGTGTGTCGTATTATCTTGGTCGTTGTCCATAGTTGTTAGTGCTATTTACAATCATATTGATAATTGTAATAATAATAATGTGCTCATTAATTTCATAAATTGTTCTGGGAAGTAGTTTCTATTTTCACTCGATTTAGCTGCAGTAACTAATTGAATTTTCCGTACTTTGCATATTGCAATGGCTTTCAAATTAATTGAATTTTGAAGGAGAGCAGAAACTGCAGCAGTAGGAGCTATTTAATGGGATTGTAATTGCTTAAATGCCCTGAAGGGATTCAGCATGTATGAAAACCGCATTGTGGTTATGTTTTACTATTAATGCACCTCTATATATATGTATTATATATGTATATTATATTTCTGCAGAGTAACGGTTCGATTATGAGGTTACTGACAATTAAGCAGTATGCTGTAGATTTCTGAGAATTTATCCACTCTGCGCCCTATTTGGCTATAAGACTTATATTTTTACGAATTTAAATACCCTGTTACCTTTGTGTGTGTTTCCGAAGTTACTGACCACATTTAAGAATATTGGCATTAAGATGCTGTACGTCAAACTAAAACTAGGCATTTTTTCTTTATTTCGGGCTCTAGCTGCATTTCAGGCCAAACGTGTTGCTTACTTTTAGGCAGATGCAAATATTGTCGACCAGTCAAATATAGCTCTTAAATTCGTTGACAAAGTGAGCTGCTATATCTCCATTGTTTAAGAGCTCGAATCACCAAAATAGAATAACTTTATAGACATTTAATACAAGCGATTGCATGTACATCATAAATGCAAGCTGCTTTTATGCATGCAATGTGCTTAAGTTTCTCTCCCTCTCTTTCGCTATCGCTCCGTCTCAGTCTTTGATTAAGCTTCTACAAATTGAGCAACACAATAAAGGCATCAAGCTTAGAATATATTTAACTGAAAGGCTGTTATTCTCCATACATTAAACGCTTTCGAAGTCAATAATGAGGCACATCAAATAATATTCGATGGCAAGATGTGAAACTATAACACACAACGTTCGATTCAATGAAATGTTGCCATTATCTATCAAGCTGTAAAATGCGCTTAAATTATTTTAATTATTAACAAACTTTTTTAATTGTGAAAAAGTCCAAAAAAAGTTTATATTCGAAAAGACGAGACAAGTTAAAGACGCCAAAGAAAAGATACAACAAACAAAAAAAACCTTTGGCTAAAATGTTTTCAAATGTCAATAAAGAAGTATAAAATTTTCTTATGTGCATCCAACATAGTGCATTTTTTGAATTCAAACCCAGCATATACGCTTTTGTAATATCTAATACAGAGTATACTTTTGTCTTAAATGTTTCTAACAAATGTCAATGAAGAAGTTAATTATTTATTTATTTTTTTGTTTTATTCTTGTACAGTCTGAGTCAACATAGTACACATTTATAAATGCAATCCCTTAATACACCCCTTTATAATATCTAATATAGGGCATCATTTTGAAATAGATTACAGGGTATCTCCGATTTAAGCTCTCTTCCACCTGCTCAGCATCCGTTGTCTCTCTTTCTCTTGCTCTTTTTCCCCCCAGCGGCATCCCAAGCGTTTTGGCAATAAACTCGAACTCTATGGCGCACCCACGCACACATGCACACACACGAACACACACACACACACACACACTGTGACACATGCACGGCACATTTATGTCTGTGTGAGTGTGCTCGGCGGATTTCGATTTTTGTGTGCACCAAAAAGAAATTTAAATGAGATTTACGTGAGACTCAGGTTTACAATTGTTGGTTTCGATTTTCTTCTCATTGTTGTATTGTGTGTCCTTTGTGTGTGTGTGTGTGTGTGCGTTTGGCTGTGTGTTGGTGTGTGGGCATGTGCTTACTATGTTAGTGCTTGGTGTGTGTGCTTCGTGCTCGCTAGCTAATTATATTGCTGGGCTCTTTAATGCTGATTAAGTGACACGTTTTTCACGCACCTCCACCTTCTGGCAGTTTTCCTGGCTTCAAATTGAATGAATCGCAGCCAATCGAAAGTCAGATGCTATTAATAGTGCTCATTATTCTCGTTTCGGCAATGGATAAGTCAGCACTAAATACACACACACACACATGCTATACATAGCAATCAGTGTGGGTGTAAATATGCGTGCGTGTGTGTGTGTGTTCGTGTGTTTGTGTGCTGTGTGTGTGTGTGTGTCGAACATCAATTGAGTTGACGGCCTGTTGGCGCCAGCAGTGAAAAACACAACAGCAAAAGCCCAGTAGACACATTAAGCTGGCGTCGTCAGCCACACACACACGTACGCACACACATACGTAGGCACACACACGCATAGACACACTGGCATGGAATCACAACACGTGTCACTCTTTCGAACACCCTATATTGATGAAAATAGGCAAGGCGTGCTCGTATACTAATGAAAAGTGCAGTCAACTATGAAGAAAATTCAATGTTCGTCACAGTTCTCGTTTGTCTTTCAATCGATTTCGCAAACCCCAAATCAATTTCAAGGTAAAACACATATCGCACATGGGCTCGTTTCAAATCTCCAGTGCTATGACAAAAAGCTTAGATGCACTTCTCAAGACCATTTTGACCACGTTTTTTGTTACAGTTCCAATCCATTTGATGATAACAGGGTATCTAGTACTCACTAAAAGACTATGTTATTCTTACCCCTTTTGTTGTTGCTGTTCTTTTTTTTTGGCTCTTACTGAACAATTTCATTTGTTTTTTCTACGCATTTATTTTGCTTTGTTTGCGTACAACACGGCGAATGCGTAATTTTTCGTTTACTCTCTTTCGGCGAGCCCCTAAAAGAATACAATATATTTTATTTTTTTGTTGTTTAAAGCGCACTTTCGCTTTGGCTGCCATTTAATGATGCTCGTGCCCATTTGGCATTGTTCTGGTCAACTTAAAAAGGGTTTGTTTTTCTGCTCAACCTTTTTATTCATTTAATTTAGCTAATTGAAAATGTATCATTTGCAGGCAATTGAGGCAGAATTTGCATTGTCGAGGCACTAATATTTGGCGAGATTATTTAAATACCAAAAAAAATAGCCAAGTTAACATATATTTTCAACTGTTTTCACCATGCATTAAGGAACCCCTGAAATCAAAAGAAGCTTCAGCAATTGACCAAATAAATCTGACAAGCCTGACAGCTTAAGATTTGGGTCTCCATTATATCCGGGCCTTCAACTGAGCAAAGGCTGAAACAATGCTCCAGGTTCTGCCTAATCATCCTCTTATGCAGCCCTTTTATAATGCGCATCGTATCGCTTGTTCAGTTTATCAATCTGGCATTAAACAATTTAAGAATCTGAATTTTATTTGAAATATTTAATAAATTATCGCCGTTTTATTATATAATTATTCTTTGCCAATATGAGTGTGCCTTGATAATACAAATTTCCCCTTTTTATATAATTATTTCCTTCGGATACTATTGAATTGTATTATTTACAGATTTATGTGCTTGTCATGTTTATGCCAAGAACATATATACACCAGAATTTAAAGCAAGGGCTAGGATAAGCATAGATTCTTAATACTAGCCTGGAATTTGTTTACATTAATAACCGATGTAAGTTAAAGAGCTTGTGCTGTCTGACCCATGCCGTAGGGCTTAACAAGTTCAGTTTCAAAAATGCAATCTCTAGGCGGTAAAAAAGTTGTTCAAAGCCTTTATATACAATATTCGACGTTAGTTAGTTAGCATTATTATATATATTTGCTGCATAATTGCAAAAGTTGCAAAGAGCAAACTCATCTCGTGGTTGTGCACTTTCGTAGCCACAGTCGAAACTGAATGACCGCAGTCCTTCTTTTTGTCATATTACTTAATGTGTACGATCTTGGGCAAACAAGCGCATATGCCTGTGGGGCATATATGTTATGAATATATATGTATGTATACACATCTAGTTGGCAACTTGGCATATATTGATAAAAAAAAAAGAAGAAAGTGGACAAAAGTTTCGCACACGCAGCTCAAACAATGCGAAAAGCTCAGCTGTGCGGTTCATTTTAATTTGGTAAAAAAAATTTTGAAAACTGATTTTGCTGAATGATTTTATTTATTTAACTTTTTTTTTTTGTTATCTTATATCATTTCAGAGACGAAGTTCAGCATAGCCACGATGCGTCGCTCCTCATTTACGCCCGTGTTCAATTTGAGCACTCAAGAGCCGCTGATTGTTGTCGAGGAGTCGCATGCCGTTGAGGATGGCGATGAACTAGAGGGCGCTGCTGGGGGCTTTGATCCGAGTGCCACCAAACGCAGCAATAGCGATGATTCGGAGCCGGACTCACCAGTTAATCCGTATCTGTTGTGTCCCTTTCCCGATATGCAGCAGAGACGCAAGCATTCGTTGCCCTCATTGCAAATAACCGAGGGCATCACCGCCAGCCAGGTGCGACGCCTATCCGAGGTGGGCGGCGAGACGGGCGGCATCAGTCCCAAGGAGGTCGAATTTTTGGCCACCCTCTCGCAGAAGTCAAATCCGACCGCAGGCGGCCGTCGACACTCAGTGGTCACCATATCGGCTGTGCCGCCAACGCTCTTCGGACGCAATCGGCGCGAGTCCATTTCCGCCGTGTCGTTCAGGTAAATGACATTTTTATTTACGCTCAGCGCCGAGCTTCTCTGCCACTTAAGCCAGTAATTGGAAGTTTTGTGCGCCATTAGCGTTGAAAGTGCAGGGGCGCCGACCAGCAGGCGTCAAAAGCAACAGCAGCACCAGCAAAAAGAAAGTCTGGCACAACAGCAAAGGACATGGCCTCTTTGACTCACGCCTAATTGAATTACGCCGCCGGCTGTTCAATGCTTTTGTGCTGTGCCAGCAACAATATTGGTATCCCAGCGATAGCCTTATGGGATTGTGCTTGAATCGGGCAGGTCTCAAGTCTAAGGCAAACCCAAAAACGGCTCAGCTTAAATGCATAAACTGCTGACTGATTGCAACAACATGTATCAAAAGTACAAGATGCACGTGTTTTGTGAGCTTTCGCATATAATTCATTTTTTATGTGGCCTGCCCGTCTCTAGCCAAAAAAGAAATATCTAGAAACTAGCAAAACATCTTAGAAACATGTAGCTTGAAAATGCTTTTATAAGAGAGCTTTATTTCCGAGCAATTGTTCCTTTAGTTAAGGTTCAAGCTAGCAATGCAATGAGGTCAGCAAACACAGAAAATGTGTTGGCAGTCTCAAAAGTTAAATGTTAAATCAGAATATTATAAAAAAACATAGTATATGAATAAGTTCCTATTTTGAATCGCTTGCAGTTAAAGTTTGACTTTCGGTTCATAATAAAATACAAATACCGATTCAGGAACCGAACTGGTTCGGTTCAAACCCCTGCTTAAGATAGCAACAATGTGGTACAGTAGGGTATCAGATTGTCGGCTTGGGGCTGCTGCTAATCCCTCCCGTTCTCATATTTGTTAGCTGCCAGGCGAAGAGAGCAGAGGCAAGGTCGATTTCTGATCGAATTATAAATATCTCAACTATTTTCTCTCTACCTTGCAGCGGCAGTCGTCGTGGCAGCATCATCGGCGGACCGCCCCTAACCGATCATCGCGGCAGCATACACAATTTGCAGCTGGACATCATGGACGGGATTGTGCAGCAGCGCAAGACGCGCAGTGGCAGCGGCGTCTGGACAGCACCTGTGCTCCAGGAGGCGGACAGCAATGTGCCCGTCCAGACATAAGCGCCAGCAGAGGACAATGGAAGACAGTTGGGAGCACGTGCGCGATATATGAAAAAAAAAAAAATGAAAAGATTATTAATATTTGTTTTCATCGAGTCTTTACCCATACTCGAACACTACCCACTGCAACCCCCTTACCCCCTCAGTCTCGCGCTCATTTATTCCCGCTTTGTCAGTCAACATCTCTTTTTATTTGAGAAAAGGAAAACATCGCGACAACGCATAGAAAAATCAACAAACAAACGGCAATTGTGAATACGAAAATAAAAATGGAAACCGCGTCACGTAAATGTGGAAAATGAAACTGCGGACAGGTTGAGAAATAGCTGGGCGATAAGGATAATCCACAGAGAGGAAAATAGAGAGGAAAATAGAGAGAAAGAGAGAGAGAGAGAGAGTGTGTGCAAAAGCTAGTTGAAGGACAGAGCCTGCAGCTGCCTTCAGCGACGAGTAACAACTGTGAATGCCCTAGTTGACAAAACAGCTCGACTATGAGACACCCTCTAGACGGGCTATTAGCCGTTTATTAGTTAATCTGTGCTGTGCATCATCAAGCAAATCATGTTTTTATCCACATTCGCATGGAAATCTAAACTCACACATAACACACCAACATGCCACACACACATACATTGAGACATGTAACACACACATTTCATAAACTTGCTTGGTAAGTAAGCATTTAATACATATTTACATATACAGTTAAGTATCGAGAATCCCATGATTATATATCGAGTACACGGTATTACACAAACCTCCCATGACCGAGAAAAAAAAACATTTGAAAAAACATCAGAGGCTTATTTTGATGGAGCAATTTGCACACCTACGTTGAGGTATGTCCTCCTCCGGCCCCCGCCTACCAAACCCATTTGCATTTCGCCCATAGCCATTAATTTGACCAAAATGGCGCTGGGCAAAGTTTACAAAAAAAATAAAAAAAAAAGCCAACGACGAACTACCACCCTATTAAAAAACGAGCATTTCCTATGCTAATGATATTAAAAACAAATAAAAACAATTTATGTTAAATAAGCAACACAATATTCAAACTAGCTATGCGTTAAATATGTTTGTGCATATTTATAAAGACATAAAGATGTCATGTCAATAGATATTTTAAAAAATTTGAGATTAAATTGTCTACATCTAAAAAAAATAATCGCGATTGAGCTGAGATTTTTTTTTTTGGACATTATAATTCTAACGAGTTTCTATACAAAATTGTCTGCAGCCAGATAATCAAATACTTATTATATTATTTGATTTATTGCTTTATATTATTTATCATTTTTAACCATTTAAAACATTATTTTACTTAGTATTATTATACTTATATATGTATTATATTATAATATCTATTGTTTTTTACTATTTATTATATTTCATTTTATTTTTATCAATATTATTTATACGTTTATATTATGTATGTGATTTTATTATATTATTTAATATATCTTTTTTAGTTATTATTAGTTTTTAAAATTTATTGTATTATATTATTTTATGTATAATATTTAACGGAAATTATATATTAATTAATTATAATATGGAATTATTAATTACTCTCTAAACTTAGCCCTATTATGCACATATTTCCGGGTATATAAACAGTTACATTTCAAACCTAATATGATATATAGTATCATTATGGCATCTAATATACATTGCTTAAAGATATTTTGACTGGAAAAGTATGTTGGGCAAGTTGGTATTCTTCTTCTGTAGGGAGTTTTGCCCGGTGTGCTTTTGAGTGGAAATGTTAACTTTTGATAGTTTCATTTAATCCGCTTCCCTTTTTAAGCTTGCGTCACTAATTGCATTTTATTCGAACCCGAACTCAGAGTGCGACAAGAAATGCAGGTGAAATAGTCGTTGCATTTATAATATGACTTCGCAGCATAACATAAAATGTGCACAGAATGAACGCAGCCTCGACCTAGCTGCATCAAGGGCAGGTCAAGGACACCTGTGCCCAACTATTACTACTAGCCATACACACATACACACATAGATATACACACACACCATTAGTGAGACACACGCAGTTTGCTGCATTTCATGGCCTGCTGCTGCTGCACGTGGCCCACATGTCGTATGAGTAATATGGGACACTGCCTCAATGCCAATGCCAAAGTGAATGTCGCTTTTAATGGCCATCGTTGTGTTCGCTGATAAAAATGTACAACCCCCCGCTCTCCAAACTCTCCCCAAGCCAAGCAAACAACCTGCATTCACTCTGCCCCATTTTGCAGCCGCAATAAAGCTAATTTCATGTGGGTGGTGGGCGACATTAATTGATATGTGTGTTAGGTTTGCATTGCTCGGCTGACTAATTACGACAATCAAAATGCAATTCCAGTCGTTGAATGTGTGCTGTGATGTCTCCCTGTCTCTGTCTGTGAGTATGTGTGCGTACAATGTGTATTTGTGACGTTTTGCAACCGCCAGTAATTGGCATTTTGACGGCCAACAACAACAAAACTGTTTCCCCATGTATAGTTTACATAACGCGTTCAATAGACTTATCAAATATTTCTACATGGCAATCATTCTGCCTTCCAAAATTTAAATACAAATTATAATATGCTTACATTGAATAATAACAGTAACAATTATAATTAATTCGATTATCGTAGTAAATAAACATATTTACGCTTACGTAATAAATAAAAGTTAAATTTCATTATTTTAATATTAATATTTGCATATAATAAAGTAGATTGAAATGAAATTTCTTCTAAAAGTTGACTTAAACCAGGCTCAGAACAGTTCTGAATTCAGCTCAAGCCATATTTAAAGTACACAAATCATATTTTAAGCTCTTCAAACTATTCTCATAATTTTTAACCAAATACAAAATAGTTTCATACAAATTTATAGCTTGATTTAACTAAACCCTGAAAGGCTGCTTGCAATGAACATGGGAAGTAAACGTTAACAAAATTGATTTAATTTCGGCATAAACCAAAAATGTGTTGTCGAAGCCAAAACTTTGTGCATAGTGAGCAACTCAAATTAGATAATGCAAAACAAAAGAAGAAGGTCATACCAAAATCATTGAAGCAGTTTAATCATAATACCAAACTATTCGCTTAGTATATATAGACTTATGCATATTCAGGAATTGATAAGTTAATATGTATAAGTCCCAGCATTTATTTGTTTGGTGTTGATTCCTAACGACTAGAGACAATCCAGACAAAACAGAATTGAATTAACCACCGCTCGATTACCACCAGTTTAACTAAAACTCGTACCTTTTGACTGTTTATTGTAATTACTAAAAATATTTGAAACAGCAGCTCTCGCTTCTGCTCACTCCCTCTCTCTCTCTCTCTCTCTCTCTCTCTCTCTCTCTCTCTCTCTCTCTCTCTCTCTCTCGCAGACTCTTTAGAAAGTTTTAGCCCTCATATTCACACACACAGACACACACACACGCACAAACTCTCTAACTCATATACGGGCATATACCAAAAAACAAGAAAAACACTTGCAGTAATTTTGTATACCCTCAGGTGTTTGTTTTAATTCCGAACTACAAAATGAACTATAAGCCAAATGTAATAAGAACAACAAAGCTAATAAGAAACAACTTGCAGAAGGCTACAAAAAAAAAAAAAAAAATGAGAAAATAAAAATAAAACAAAATGTGGCATATAATGGAATGCAACGTAATTAGAAATTCTGTTGTGGCATATCACATACTTTCAACAATTGAAATCTGTGTATTTTGAAAAAAAAGAAGAAAAAAAAAACCCCCCAAAAGAAAAGTGTTTTAAAGTGTTTGTTACTGTTTTGTTAGAAGATTAGTAAATTGTGAGATACATAAAAATTCATAAAAACGAGAGTTAAAATGTACCATGTACCTAAACTTTAAACCTATGTACAACTATATAGCTAAAACTAATTTACCTATGAGTACTTTTTACTACTATTGTTAGACTCTAAGTGATTGGCAACCGGAAATCCTGTAAGCAGAACAATCAAATCAACAATTGAGCACATATATAAATATATATATAGATATATATATACAAATCAAACCGTCAATCAATCATACAAACGTTCAATTAATCAGTCAGTCAGTCAGTCAAACAATCCGTCAGTCAATCAGTCAGCGCCAACATGTTCATTGAACTCGGCTTGCTGCCTGCCCAGCCCAGCAGGTCAGCAGGCATTAGTTCGAGCCCACAAGCGATTTCCCAAAAAAGTACATCAATATTTCGAACCTTAACTGTTGCTATCGGAAAATTGCAAAAATGATAATGAGTTTTCTCTTCAATTAGTCTCGATGTTGTCTCAGCGCATGTATCTAAATATAAAGCATAGTTGTTAGGCAAGTTTGTTTTTAATTCGTCAGCATTTAGTTAAATTACATGATCCATCATTCGCTTAGTTTGTACATAATGCTAATTGTTCTCAAATGCTCCCAAAGCACTAATTCGTTTTTCCTATTTTTGGCGCAATCCAAGCGCAATCTGTGCGCATTCTTCAAAATTATTCACCAGAACGAAAGAAACAAAATTTTACTCCAGAGTCTACTGTACTTTGAATTCAATCTGAACGTATGTGTACTAAAAATTTACAAATACATATGTTAAACCCTTTGAATGCCTGAAGATTCCTGTCATAGGAAGCCTATCATATGTTTGAAATATGATAAAATGTCGCTGGACGACGTAAAAAAATGAAACCAAATTTTCCTAAAATAAAAAAAATATATATATACATAACAATTTACATACATACACAACACACAGATACAGACATGTGCAAATGCAAAGGCGAACATAAATACCTTAAAGCTTAGTCAAGGATAATCACAAGGAAAGAGCTCTTAAAATAAGAAACAATATGCTATATTGAATTGTCTAGAATTTGTAGAGAGAAGATATATATATATATATACACATATATACACCTATATGTATACATATTGATATATATAAAACCTATTGTCATAACGCAAGAGCAATCAATGTTTAAATTTATTA